AATAATTTTAAGATTTTGACATAAACCCTGACTTTGGAAGTGTGGACTGTGGACCCCCCCCCTTTTTACCTCCCCCCTCCCCTAAGGGGAGCCGGGGAGACAATTGGAACATGAAATTTGGATTCCTTGGGGTGGATTCCCAATTTGTCTCCGCGGTCTTGGACTTCGTACAACCTAAATTAACCAAAATGAAACCCCGGTATGGTAGGTCTTGGCCACCCTATGTTTAAGGACTGCACTACACGTTTTTCGAGGAGACAACTGTACGTGCTCCTCTGCAGGTTCTTTGCCTACTCGATAAGATTGAAGACAGCCTTTGATTATACGAAATTTACCGCGCAATGCAATGGTTGTAATCATCATATACTGGTTCCATCAAAGCACGAAGCAACAGAATTATTATATATATATATATGTTTTATAAAGAGATAACTATTTCAGCTTCTATCTGTGGATAGTTTATTGCCTATTGCCTTGTTTATTGCCTTTTCAGCAAAATGAAATTGTGCGTTTACATTCCTCTGGAAAATTGAATTGTTCGAGTTGATTTTTAAGCCTAGATTTAGAGTTTTGTTCCTCCGTCCGGGAAACGACGATATTGTCATAATTCATCGGTCTCTTCACAAAAAAACGTAACTACAATTTCAATTTTGCGAAATTTCCTCTCGGAAATTTCATTATTCTCTGAAGAATCTTTAGCGATTCCAACTGCAAATTTCCCTGATTTTTTTCTTGATCTCGTGCAAAAATCAGAAAAATTTCGAGAAATAATTGCAAGAGGACGTTCTCGTCAAACATTGAATGGTTCGAGTCAAGTTTGCAACCTTACAATGGAGTTACGTTCTTTCGGTGCGGGAACTGACGAATTGAGACATTGGGTGCGGAATGGGCATTTCTTGGTTGTGGTGTTTTAGAATCTCCAGGGCTAGTTATTATTTTGAAGAGGAGACTTCTGCGCCAAATTTCTGAAATGTTAAGTTCTCAGCAATGTAAAATTATAAAGAATACTAGGGGTCCCTGCCCCCTGACCGCTACGCGGCCCAACCCCCAGGAGGGCGCCTCGCGAGCCCTATACGCATATGTATAGGCAAAAATGTTCTTCCATTTTAATACACCATTTTTTATTCGAGCTGCATCGATTTCAACATTTTTGACGTAACACTTAGATTTGTAAATGATGAGGAATAGCTGGATGTACATAATTTCACAGTCCAGTTACTGAAGAAATTTCCATTTATTATGTTATTTTTAAATACTTAATTTTAAAAAAAAAAAATCGGATTTCGACCGTTAAGAGTTAATAATATTTGGTCCGTCCCGACGCGACGCAGCGCCTGCCTTCTCACTTTGTTTCTGCTGTTCATCTGCTGTAAATATTAATAGAAATTCAGCAATCATGTAAATTGACCAATGTCACAAATCGAAGCCGGAAGAATGCAGGAAAAATTGAGTTAAACCTTATACCTTGGACCTTGAACCTTGAACCCTGAGCGATGCACCGTTCCTCAACACTCTTCGAATGAGGAGCCCTTCACGAGCTTTTCCATTGTTTTATTGTTTATTCGAGTCACTTAGATAGAATCCCACACCTTGAAGTTTCTAGCGGAAACGACATATCTCTCACGCTATTAACATTGGACTTAAATGACATGAGCTTTAAAAGCTCTACAACATTAAAAGTTCGGGGCTTCATAATTTTTTGCACATCTACATCTACTACAGATGACATACATGTAAAGATCATCCTTATCGGTCCGGCAGTTCGTCAGAAATAGTGCTTCCAAGATTTTGCTTTGCAAGATGTTCCCACCCGAAGAAGGCGCAGAGGGCGCCCATTGAGAGGTTGGAGGGATGATGGGATTGAAGCAGAAATGTTAAGGCCTTGATAGACGATCAAATTCCCGAACCAATTCCGATCAAAGTAACATCAAAGTGTCGGGAGTCATCAGTCTTAAACTCATTAATTTGCTGCATTTTAAAATGAGACATTGGCAGAAATTTTTCCTGTGGTAGGAAATGATGAATGGTGGCACTCCGTTCTGATCTTACTTTGAACAAAAAAGTGCGGCCCGTCAAAATTTGATGGTAGATGGTGACCACCAGTCATCAGCATGTCTACTTTGATCGGAATTGGTTCGGAATTTGATCGTCTATGCAGGGCTTTAGGAAAAACGCCGTGCTACCAACATTCGAGGGTCTGTTGACTCACCTACAGGGTGATGTTTAACAATGTGGGGGGGGGGGGGGGGGGTTAGGTGTTGTGGAGCGCCGAAGAGTGCTATAAATCGACTTACATATACACACACATTACATTCATGAGATACAGGGTTATTCAAAAGTCACGCACCACTACTGGCCATGAGGGGGGTGGCCATTTGAACTTTTTTAGTTGCACCCCGGCCACCTCCTCCTGGAGGGGTCAAAAACTGAAAAGTACCTAAAAAAAAGTTTCCCTCTCAATTTGAGGAAAAACGTGACAAACCGCAAATCGATATCTAAATTAGAACTAAAGTTGGATTATATTTTGCAATATGGATGCACTATTTCTGGCCCATTATAGAAACAACATACATGTCATTGGTTTCCCTATGCAGATATGTGCTTTTATGGGAGAGGAAAAGATAGTGGTTTCTTATTGCAAAATGTAATCCAGCTATGACAGTGGTACGAGACTTTTGAATAACCCTGTATATATAAGAAGAAACAAGACAACGATTCCAACGTTAAGAAGTTGGAGAGCGTTCACCGTAGCACCTCGTCAATATGTAAAAGTGGTTTTGCGCGGACGGAAGAGAGCGCTGCAAGACGCTGTTGAACTAAACGTGGAGCGTAACCTAGGAAACATACATCTATATAAGAAACTAGCCGTTCTGGGCGCGCTTCGCGCGCCCGTCACGCCTAGCCGGGGGCTAAGCCCCCTGGACACCCGGTCACTCGCTACGCGAGTGACATTCGGNTCAGCAATGTTAAACGTTCAAGATGTAAAACTAAAAGGGGAAGGATTCAGATTCGATTGCGATTTTCGTTAAACGTGAGATGACAAACTTTAAAAAATCTTGGGAGGCATTTGAAATTTGTCTACCAAGGGCTCAGACTGAGGAAAAATATGAGAGTACTAGCCGTTCTGGGCGCGCTTCGCGCGCCCGTCACGCCTAGCCGGGGGCTA